CCGTGGCCCCCCCCCCCGTTTCAGGGGAAACGCGTCCGCTCCGCGCTCCTGAAGTGGGGCACCGAGGTTGCGGACAAACACAATACTTTTATCTGGGTGCATTCTTCGGAGGCCGGGGTGGGTGCGTATTTGAAGGCCGGGTTCCGGATTGTGGGCAGTTTTGAGGTGGATTTGGATGCTTTTGCGGGGGGTGTGGTGAGGGGGGATGGAGGGAAGTGGGGGGGATATGGGTTTAGGTATTTGGTTTATGGGAGGTGGAAGGGGGAGGGGGAGGGCCCCAGACCGTGAGTGTATCTTTGCTAAATTCCATGAGATGATGGCTTTTTGATGACTAGAGTATATTATATTTGACTTCGAACAAAAGAGCAGATAGAGTGAAAAGGTAAGTAAGTGGCTCATCTAAAGAGAGAATTATTGTATTAATTTCTACCTACAAAGCAAAGTTCCAAACTAGCAAAACTCTCATTCTACCGATCCCATCTTCCTCGGAGGGAATCACAGGTGATAGTTACCTATCAAGACAAATCCACAGCCCTCGTCTTACATGAAGCGATTTGTGATGAAAAAGAAAGGGGTATCTCTGCTACCAAAGTTCAAACATGATGAAAATGACAATCACCAATCATTTCGTGCTTCCCATCCATCGCCATCTCGGAAAATCGTACACACTGGTTCCGCCCAACATATCAATCAATGACCTCGAATCTTGTTGAAAAACATTGAGGCCTTCTGCCTAACACTGCCTTGACGAATTTGAGCCATACTCATACTTGTAGTTGAGCGATGATGTGTATGATCCAAACTTGTGCGTCGTGCGCCCTGGACGGATGTCGATCGTAGCATTACTTCAGGAGTCGCGCGACCAGAAAATGTGCGAGAAATATCTGGAGACACAACACCATGGCCAACACGAAGAGCACTAACACTACGAAGGAATGCTGGATCTTTCTCATTGATTTCGTTCATGGTGTTTGGTGTTGGAAGTCGAGCTGGAGGTGAAGGGGCATCGAGGCGATCAAACGTTACTCCTTTGGGAGTCCGACGTTTGCGTTCAACATTTAGATGATCTCCAAATGTCTGGAAACGAGGGGTCGCAGGTGTGTATTGAGAACCTTGAGCAGACAAAAGATCTTCTGTAGATCCTGCAGCTGACGAGAAAGCAGGCACAAGATCTGCGTATCTTTGGGTATGATCTGCCAAAGTAAATCCGCCTCGAACCTTTTCTTCTAGTTGTTCCACCAACGTGTTTTCATTAGCTGATGTGTAATTAGAAGAGGAAGATGATGCATATCGCTGAAGCTCATTTTCAAACTCCTCAACCAAACTTGGGCTACGCTTCAAGTTCAGTTTGTAGGACATGGCTGGCATTGGCTGTAAAACATCTGTAGATGGAACCTCTGGGCTATTGAATGTAGAAGGATAGCGAACGGGTGGAACGATGGTTGGCAGATTTGCTGGCCATGGTGATTCTTTCGGGACAATAACTTTCGGCTCTTTGAAACCCTTTGCAAACATAGCATTAAGGAGAAGACGAGAATAACCAAGAGGATACCCAGCGATGCGGAGTTTGTGAAGCTTGTCGGCAAGATTGCAAATAGCATCAGAAAGTTGGAGAACAGAATCTGGACAATAGGGAACTGGATGGCCGTTAGATCGCACATACTCATCAAATCAAGCTGCTGGACTTACTGAGATCTTTGCCAAATTTTGCCACAAACTCCTTGTCGTCGTAAGGTTGGAACCCAGCGAAGCGTCGGCAAAGAATGTTCAACTCCTGAATTGTAGACTTATCACTTCGTTTAGCCAATCCAACAAAGATGCCAGTCAAGAGCCTATCCTCTTTCTCCATGTTGTAACCGAACGCTGAGGCCTGCTTGACACAACTGCCACCAAACCTAGTATAATCGACCTCAATCGTCAGAGACTGGATCGAGGAAAGATGATCATATAGCCAAACATGTGACATAGGAGACAGCTTTGGGCCACTGAAAGCATTTATAGTAACATGAAAGTGGTATACACTCCAAAAGTAGGTGTATAGATCCTGTCGAAGCAAGCTGAATGACTCAAGACCACCCTTGACGTCTTCCAGAACATCCCAGGGATGCGCAAAGTGATCCATTTCCCACACAGCTTTGGTTGCAAAATAAGGAGACAATGAGATAGGGCGATCCTCAGCAGGGAAACAAAAACCATATATTCTTCGACGAATAACCGTGGATAATGCGAACAGAGCTTGATTGTTGGAGGCCTTGTCTAGCTTGGGAAAGATGACTTGAGCGAAAGCAGTTGGGCGAGTTCGGATGTCTGTGATGACCATGAAATCATTGCTTCTTTCAAAAGCGGGCTCGGGGTTCTCTCTGATGGCCCAGGCATTGACTTTGAATGATTTGCCGAGTTTCAGAGCTTTCTCACGAATGGTCTTGCGGAACTTGCTCTTGCTCTTGCGAGATTTCTCCTTGTCATCGGAAGTGAAAGCTCTGCCAGTCAAGATGTCGATAGCTTGTGTCTTGGACTTGACAGCTGCGTTGGGGAACTCGGCAATGGGTGGGACTCGAAAGGTCGAAGAGATGCTGGGAGTTCCAAAGGGAGAATCTGCTCGTAGAGACTCGATGAGTGAACGACGCTGAGGCGGCACTTGATGAAACTGGGCGTCAGTATAAAGATCCGCCATGATGCATTCCTGTACGCAAATGGATGGCTCTGAGAATTCTGGCGGTTGAGGCTTACTGATGCAAGATGGCGAGAGAGTGGGAGAGTGAGAGTTTGAATGGAGCTGGACGTGCGATGAGATGGCACCTCTAGCCAATCGCCCCTCTATGATTGTGGACGACCGTTGGTGATTGTTAGGGGGGGGAGGTGTCGGGTTGGAGAAGAGGTGAATGAGAGAGGAGTGCAAGTTGACTGACGCGAGAAGGGGAGAATTTGGTTTGGGGGGAAGGTGAAGGTGGTTGGATGGGAGGGGCGCGATCGAGGGAAGGAGCGACGAAAACAAACACTCAACTTCCGCTTCCCCATCAACACCCACTGAGAGGGAAACCGCAATGTGGTACTATTCGCAAGTGCACAAGTACTGTTTGTATTGCATGCTCTCATCAGCTCCAAATATTTCCATTTGAAGTGATGGGATGCATCGGTATTGCGAACAGTCAACTTTCCCTGTGGAGAACGCCAAAGCAGACTGAGTAGGTACTCCATCGCGTGCCTAGGAGGTATTTTCATTATATCTCTTTAAATTCTATGATGCCCTTGGAAGATTGTGGTCTAGGGCAAAAGGAGAGAGGCATTGCAGTAGAAGTAGAAACAGCTAGGTGGCTTCCCTGGAGCCGCTTTGGTTTTCGTTGGCCATAATAACCGTATGCCATTATTGCAGTTCTTTCTGTCTCTCTCCAAAAGAGAAAAAAAGTGAGAGCAAAAAAGGCAATAGAAATACCTAACCCAGGCTGCGGCGGACGGCCAAGGTAGAAAAACTAGATGAACTGAGTTTCTGGTGATTTAGGCTCTTACCAACCTTTGGGATCGGGTGAAAACAATCTGTCTTGCAGATCTTGATCACCGCAGGCGGCTACAGAGATGGCTTTTTCGACGTAGGGAGTTGTGTTACTTGAAGTCTTATGGATGTATCTCGAGAGAGAGTACTTTTTCGTACTTAATTCAGACCGTCACCTCCACCCCCCCAACACTCCTTGCCAGCCGCAGGCGTCACCACCACCACCCCCTCCAGGATCTTTGGCCAGCGCCAGCGTCACCCACTACAGTGTTAAGATGTGCAGAGGTGGAGTGTGTGGGTATGGGTCGCCTTTGGGACCTGGGACAGAGAGGCAGGTGGGCACATGACCTAGGTAGGTATAAGAAGGTGCCTTCGAGATGGGGCAATATAAGAACTAATCAGTTACCTTGCCAAGTTCAAGAGCAAGACTTCAAACAAATATTCCAAGTCTTCCAAGACCGATTGTCCGACATGATCTTTCAGAACTGTATTCTTCGGCAGCAGAGGTATTGCAGCAGCTTCTGAAGCAAGAAAAGATGCTCATATGGTGACGCTGACCCAGAAGCCGTACAGAGGTTGGAAGGGAGGCATGTAACGAGTTTTGTTGCACATCGCAATGATGCGTGGGGGTCCTCCGCGGGGGCACCTTAGTGAGGCAGGTATGGAAGTGAGTCTGGATAGTGCTTGTGTCCCCAAATAACAGCCACTATATTTTATGCATCCGTTTGTCCAAGGGGCTGTATGTGAGACTTGAAGTTTTATTGCACATCGCAGCCTCATATGGGGGGCTTCTAGTGAGGCAATATTGACAGTGAGTCCATCGTCGAAGACTGAGGCTTCATCATCTCGAGAGTTGGGGAGTTCAATTGGGGGGCTGCAGTTTTGGGGTGAACCAAGTGAATCTACGCCAAAACGCCTGTTGGGCCAGGCACATTCTTGGGGCGATACAGTGGTACATGGAGTGCATAGCGATAGTTCTGTTTATGTGGGCGCGTAGAAAATACCTGGAGATAACAGTGTCCATGGCAGCGGAACAAGATGTTTGTCAAGCAGGAACATGCAGCTGTTGAAAGTGAAGGAGCGACGTTGACGTTGACTTCGGAGCCGAAGTGGATCCACAAGCCGATCGTTCTTCCGATGGTCTCGGCCTTGGCATTTAGTGTCTCTAAGCTTCAGTGAGATGCGAGGATGCCATCATTTTCCTTCACCAAGTTCACCCACAACTCGCCGCCGACAACCAGTTTTTGTAGCTCTGCCACTATTCAAAAACCACGTCTATCTCTTGATTTTCAAATCCATCTGCCCTCAACTACACTTCACATACGACAGTACCTAGCGTCATTCTTCTCTTGCGATAATCATTTCACAAAAATACAATGGCTCTTCCTCCACCAGATTTTGACCCTGAAAAGGCAGACAACTTTGAGGATGTAAGAAAGTTCCCTCGTCGTATCCTGCGCAACCACTCCTTATGCTAATGCGATAACAGATTGAGAAACAATTTGCCGTCAAAGGTACGAGAAGGCCCCCCTCTGCGTCATAATTTACCCCGCCACTGACCCCACCATCAGTTGTCCAACACATGTCCACCTACTGGGCTATCCTCGAGAAAGTGCCCGGCTCCAAGTTGAGGCTTACAAAATTGGATGACGAGATCTACGAACACTTATTAGCCGATTTCCCCGAGTTCGATGCCGAAGAGACGATCGATGAGGATGTGATGAAGAGCAAGACGGGCAAGGAGAGATGGCGGAATTTCATGATGAAGTACGAGCACAAGGTTGACGATTACAACTTTGGCACAATGCTACGAAGTAACCCTAAGTGGGAGTATGGTCAGGACGAGACAATATTCGGTATAGGATCTCGAGTCTTCAAGCGCACACTGGCTAATAGCAGGTTTAGTCCCTCGAATGCAATTTTATGCTATCGAAATCGCAAGAAATCGCAAAGGTCTGAATGACTGGATCTACGAGAAGAACCAAAAGGAGGCAGGAGCGGCAAAGGCTTAAGACGCAAAATCATGATACCCCGAAACTTTCGACAATGTTTTCTTTCTGTATCATATTTGGGTAGATTGGTGCTGCAGGACCTTTCCTGTGGGAAGCGCGACTCAAAGCCATACACGAGATGGAAGCCCTTCGACCCGGAGGTTTCTTCTGCGTGGTGAGATACCCCCCTAGTGGCTTACTCAGTCATCCAAAAACTCCTTAGGACTATTTTTCTAGATTCGTTAGCGAACTGAATTGAAGAAGTTCTCCAAAGTTGATTTATCCCCTGTGCATTTGTAATTGATGTGACAAGTTTCTTTAGTGAATTTAAATGAGGCTCTCAGAATGCCGTCAACGATAATAAGCTTATTTCAAGGTCTAGATTAGGCAAAGAGCATTGTATGCCAGACGCTATGTTGTCATTCCCTTTGTTATTATTTTTTCCTCGCAACCTTGGAGTGTCTCGGACCTACAAAACTTCCGGAAGTTCCGAGACCGAGTTCATTGTTCTCTCTAGCGACTCGGGAGCTCTCAATTTTTCGCTTGCGAAGAACAATATCAAGCAAAACCTCACATGCGTCTAGACACCCCAATCGCCACATAGATATTCCAGAAGCATGGTATTCTTTAATACGAATATCGCTTTGATATTTCCGCATCGAAAACACTTTGTCTGTACGTACTATCGATATGAAACCTTCTGTGCACCTTTCGACCATTTTCTGATTCGACCGCCCTCTTGGGCATTTTAGCATTCTCAACATGGCTCGTTTAACCAAAAGCCGCCCAGTCTCTTCTCATGATCATGCGCAACAACACGATCGTCCTGTCGCTATTACTATAGATGAGAAAGATACGGGTAGGAAATCGATGGAGTCGAGTCGCAGCCAAGTGGTGATTAGACCTACGTGGGGTTCATTATTCGCCTTTACGCAGCCAAAACACGGGTTTTCTCTGGTCATCGCGATTTTCACCTCCATTACCGCGGGCTTGCCGCAACCGGTTGCAGCAATTATCTATGGAAGGGTGTTTTCGTGTATCACGCAGTTTGCGAGCGGAACGTCGAGTGCTGCGGAGCTTATTAGTAAGGTTTCATACTGGAGTATTGCGCTGGCTATCGCGGGCGGTGGAGCATGGTTGGTGCAAGGTGCTTCGCTGGCTTCGTGGATGCTCTTTGGGGAATTACAGGCTAAGAGCGCGAGAGAGGGGGTTGCAGATGCGTTATTGGAGAAGGATGTTGAGTGGTATGATTTGAGGGAAGACGGGATCGGGTCCATGCTAATACGTATACAAACGTATGTCTCTACCCTTTGAGCGAGAATTCATCGCTAACATCTTTAGGCAAATCCGAGAGTTGCAAATGGCCGTGTCACAACCTTTAGGGTTCCTGTTCACCGAAACCGCAGGAACGCTTATTGCGCTGGCTGTCGCGTTCTTTTACTCTTGGAAGCTCACTTCAGTAATCCTTGCTTCCATAATAATTGCAGGATTCATTCTGACTTGGCTCTCACGAGGTCTTGCGCCAGCAACTGAAGCACAAAAGGCGGAACTTGCCAAAGCATCAAAGTACTCCAATAACGCGATCAATGCTATCAATGTTGTAAAGGCTTTCAACGGACGGGAACATGAGGTGTGGCAATACTACTCAACCATCAGACATGTCGCATCAAAATACCTGGCCCAAGCTCGCGCAAACGCAGTCCAATTTGGCTTCACGAAATTCCTTGTCATCGCTCTTTTCGTGGAGGGTTACTGGTACGGTCTCATCCTAGTTCGCCAAGGTCTTGAACCTGGACATGTACTCACTACCTTTTATTCTTGTTTGTATGGTATGCAAGCGATCGAAATAATCTTACCTCAGTGGATAGTGTTGACGAAGGGAATGTCTGCTGGGATGACTTTGAAGATAATGATTGATGAAGTCAAAGCGGACCCGAATGAAAGGAAGTCTGGAAGTTTCGCTCCAGGCTCGTGTACTGGGGACGTCGAGATCAAAGATGTAAGTATCCAAGGTCATCGAATTTAATTGTTAAAACTAATGGCACAAGGTCACTTTTTCATACCCTTCAAATCTCACACAACAAGTTTTAGTCAAAACCAATTTTGTCTTTCCAGCTGGTCAAACCACTTTCGTTATCGGCAAAAGTGGATCGGGAAAGAGCACGATCGGCAATCTTCTCCTGAAATTCTATGAACCGACCGAGAGAAAGATTCTCATTGATGGAATGTTAATCTCTGACTTGAACACGCAATGGGTTCGCGAGAATGTCTACTTGGCACAGCAGGACAGCCACCTCTTCAACGAAACGATATTGCAGAACATCACCTTTGGCCGTCGAGAAAATGCTACGAAGGAGGATATTCTGATAGCTTCCAAGACGGCAGATCTCAGCCATACAATGGCACTTCTTCCCGAGGGATTTCAGACTGTAGTTGTTTCGATGGGTGTTTCTTTGAGTGGAGGACAGCAACAGAGGATTGCACTTGCGAGGGCGAGACTACGAGATTCGCCGATACTGATTCTCGATGAATCAACCAGTGCCTTGGATCAAACCAGCAGAGAAAAAGTGTTGAAGAATCTTCGTGATTGGCGCAAGGGAAAGACTACGATTATCATTACTCACGACATTGCGCAAATTGACGATAAAGATTACGTCTATGTAGTTGAAAGAGGATCGGTTGTCCAAGAAGGGTTTCGCAAAAAGCTAGCCGCGGATATAGCAGGAAAATCCTACTCTTACGTACCTCAGAATGCGGTGCATACCCCTGCTTCCGCATTCAACTTTGGCCCTGATTACTTTGATAGAACAGTTAGCGAAGAACCAAGACGGGCTTCTGAGCCCCTATCTCCCACGGTTGAGAGCTTTGAAGCGTCGATTAGGGAAGAAAATAAACATAAAAACCGTATCTCGGCATTATTGGGTATGTCAGGGGCAAAAGCTCAGAGCTTGCTGCAAGGATCCAACTTTCAAAAGAAAAGCAATCGCTATTCGTGGGGTATGGGAGTTACACAGGTCAATAATTTGAGGGCTGATGAGTTGTGGCAAAGCTCTTCAAGTCGCCCTGTTAGTAGTGTCTGTACTTCCAACATCTTGGAACCTGTCCAGGAACCTTTTGGTCCGGTTGAAGGCGCTATGGATGTTCCTGTACCTGAAGCTCCACGATCTCAGACCCCTCCGCCACCGAGCCCTACAAGGCAGGAAATGCAGGATCTGGAACAACTTGTTGCTTCGCTACCGACTCATCGGAAGAGCAGCAGTGGTGAAACTCACTTCTTTAAGCATCGATACTCCAGCGTTGCCAAAGCGGCAATGATCCCACCCACTCCATCAGTCCACAACATCCCCGACGTCAAAGGCGAAACACAACATGGTGACTTTATTAGACTCGAAGACATAAAGGCTTCCCGCTCCTCAAATGATGAACCCTCACAGAAACCACTGAAGGCCATCCTCGCCACAGTCTGGAGGACCTTGGCGTGGAGAGATAAAACCATTCTCGTTTTTGGATTTGTGATGGCCTTTGCGCTTGCAGCAGCCACACCGGCATTTGCCTTCCTCTTTGGTCAATTACTAGCTACCTTTTACACAACCGTCAATCAAGAATACCTCGCGATGAAATGGTCGCCTGCACTCCTCGGCATTGCGTTTGTGAATGGATTTTCTGCTTTCTCCACGCATTATGCCTTGGAACATGCAGGTGAGGCTTGGGTAAATTCTTTGCGAGTAGAAGCTTTGAAACGTATCCTTTCCCAACCGAAATCGTGGTTTGAAAAACCGGAGAACAACGCGGGAAAGTTGAATGAGTGTCTTGATAGGAATGCGGAGGAGATGAGGAATATCGTGGGACGCTTTGCTGTACCTGTCTTTACGGCTCTCTGGTTGATCGTTATATCTATCATTTGGGATTTCATCATTTCGTGGAAATTGACATTGCTGTTCCTGGCGTGTGGACCACCGATGCTTGTGGCAAGCAGAGTGTTTGATTTCGTTTCCTCAAAATGGGAAGGGAAATCCGAAGTCGCGGCTCAGAAAACGAGTGCCGTCTTCACCGAAACATTTTCCAAGATTCGAGTTGTCAGGTCATTGGGCTTAGAGAGCTGGTTCTTGGGGAAGCAGAAGAAGGCTACAGAAGTAGCTTACAAAACTGGTGTCCTTCGAGCCGTTTACTCAGGGCTCTTCTACGGCGTCACAGATACCGTATCACTCTGCTCCGCAGCTCTCATCTTCTACTACAGCGCCATTCTCATCACCAAAGGCGGCAGCGTTGCCTGCATTTTCCAAGTCGTCAACCTCTTGCTCTTCGGCATCTGGGGCGCCACAGGAATGGTATCCATCGTCCCCCAACTAAACAGCTCCCGCACAACCGTCACGCAAATTCTCCGACTCGCTAACCTCCCCCTGACGTCCCATGAAACCCTCGGCTCCAAGAAGATAATCAACATCTTCCCCATCGAATGTCGAAACCTGAACTTCACATACCCATCCAACATCTCCAAACGCAAAGCATTAAACCACCTCAACCTCACCATCTCCTCCGGCACCTGCACCGCCCTCGTCGGCCCCTCGGGCTCGGGAAAAAGCACCCTCACCTCCCTCCTCCTCTCCCTCTACCCACCCGACCCCTCATCCCCCAACGGCCACCCACCTGTCTCCTTCGGCGGCCACTCCATAACCAACCTCCACATCCCCACGCTCCGCTCCCAAATCTCCATCGTCCCCCAACAAGCCCTNCTCATCCCCCAACGGCCACCCACCCCTCTCCTTCGGCGGCCACTCCATAACCAACCTCCACATCCCCACGCTCCGCTCCCAAATCTCCATCGTCCCCCAACAAGCCCTCCTCTTCACCACCACCATCCTCTCCAACATCCTCTACGGGCTTCCCGAATCCTTCCCCACCGCCCACGCCACGGCCGCCGCCCAAGCCGCCATCGACGCCGGCATCCACACCTTCATCCTCTCGCTCCCGTCGGGCTACCAAAAACTCATCGGCGATGGCGGACAGACGCTTAGTGGCGGACAGGCGCAACGGATCTGCATCGCTCGCGCCCTCGTTCGCCGGCCGAAACTGCTGATTCTGGATGAGGCGACGAGTGCATTGGATGCGATTACGGCGGAGGGCATCAAGCGGACGGTACATAGGGCGATGGAGAGGGAGAGGGGGATGAGTGTGCTTGTTATTAGTCATTCGGTGGAGATGATGAGGGTTGCGGATAGGATGGTGTATCTTGAGGATGGAGCTGTGGGGGAGGCTGGGGGATGGGGGGAGCTTGTTAAAAAGGGTNTGGGAAGGGAATAGGATGGGGTTTTGGTTGGATAGTTTTACGGTTGGGAGGAGAGGGGGGAAGGGGAGGGAGAATAGGAGGAGTATGTTTTTGTAGATGGGATTCTTTCTTTCTTTTAGTGTTTTAACGGGGGGAGGGGGGAGAGGGGGTTGTACATGGTACATTTTAAGGGGTGCTTTGGTGTACTATGGTAGCTATATATAAGATTAGCTTTATATTTCGCCGAGTCTTTTTATACTATAGTACGTCGTGAGATCTGGAAGTACTTGCTTACCTTTTAGGTCTTTTGTGGTAAATAGGTGGTTAGGACGCGTGAAGGTAAAGTATTAGGGTATTATAGGTTCGTGCGTAAGCGTGGGAAATAAGCGAGGATTCTAGTGTTAGTAGTATCTAAGGAGTAAGTACTTTTTCGAAGGTACTACCTATGAATTATTTACTATTTTATATTATAATATTTAATATATAATATACTAGTTCTATATAGTTACAACTCTTCTTTTTAGTTAGATTAGTTCTATTATTGTGACGGTTCTGACCGTCACGTGCCATTAATATCACGTGGCTTCCTTAGCGAACCACATTGTATTTAGACTCAAGCTCTCTCGAGCTCTCCACTTCTCCTCAGCTTAGAATCTTCGAATAGACAGTTCTACGATTCCATAACCTACACCTTGGACGCTCCTTGAGCAACACATCGTACGTGTCGTCACACTTATAATATAGGTCTTATCTTTACTATCTAACCCCTATCTCGGTTCCCTAGGTAAATACTTGCCTAGTAAGATTAGTCTAGATGACCTAAACTCGGCTAGGGTTATATACCCGCTTTTTATATAGCTAGTTAGTTAATTCTTAAGTTTTATTTAATATTCTAATCGCTCCTTATTTATCTTTTATATTTATTCGTTAGTTAGTAAGTTAGGCTTAACTTATATATATATTATTTATACCAAAAGATAACTATTATTTAATTAATTCCCTAGAAACTCGGTATTAGATATACTTAAATACTATAACGAAATTCCTAATACTATTCTAATTAAATATAAAGAAGTAGGAATCCTAGAAACATAACTAGGATAAAAGGTTAATAGTCTCTTCGATTAACTTTTGAAAGTATTTAAGCGTAACCTAAGCTTTCTACAAGCTATCTATCTATATTATAGGGCCTTTCCCTCTTTATTTACCTTTATAAACTACCTATAAGTACTTAGATATTTTTACTTATCCCTTTCCCTTTCCTTGTCACGGGTCGAATGTCGCGATTCGGTTATTCTTCCTCGTGACCGCGGGACAAGTGGCTGCCTAAGCGAGCATGCATGTCCCACGCTTCAAGCAAACAAACAATGAAGGAAAACTCTTCAAGCAAACATGACAACACACAACTCCCTCAGAAAACTCTTTAATCAAACACGACAACACATCAAATCCCTCGTCGTGGCGTGATAAGGGATGTGGGAGACGCAGGGGATAAGGAGCTGTTGGGTGTGTGGTGTTTCTGGCATAAGAACCTCGGGTTTTCTCCTCAGATAGCTCTTCTCTCCTTAGCTTTAGATTCTAAGTAGTGGAATAGCAGTATCCTTCACCGTTCTGTTACATTCCTTCTCTCTCCCTAGCTATAAGTACTTAGCCGTTCCTACTTATTACTCTCTATTCTTCTCTATAAGTACTTTCCTAATTTACTATCCTATAAGTCTCTATACTTCTATTGTACCCCTATATCCCCCCCCTTTTTTTTTCCCCTTTCCCCCTCTCTCTCTATATAGGTAGATAGATAAACAAGTAAACACGTAAACAAGACTCAAGTAAAGAACTGCATCTTTAGTATGAATTAAGGTTTCGCGCCTACCGTTAGTGTGTGACAGTTTTTGATTTAGTGAATAAGGGTTCGCTTAGCGAAGTTGCGGGTGTACCCTTCCGTAGATAGACAAATACCTAAGGAGTGCGAAGAGCGTCTCTCTTCCCTCCTTGCGAACAATCTATTCCTTGATACCCACCATAACATAGTGTCAGGAAATATGCGCGTTAGGGAAGGTTTTATACCCCGGGCCGTCCCGTAACGGGTGTCTGGTATTTCCTGACCCGGTTCCTAGAGGGGTATGTTGGGTTGCTGAGTGTGAGTGGAGTAGCAGAAGTTGGCAAGACTACTTCTAGAAAGGGTCCCGCTTATCGCAATATTCTACGCATAAAAAAGGAATTCTAGCGAGTAGGAGTCTCCAGTTCACACTGGTCCATACTCCACCCACATACCCCAGTATCGTATACTTGATTACGGTAGTTTGATTTGCTATTGTAGAAACGGCAGCCACTAACTTTCACCAGTTTTCTATCTTAGGCTTCTTTTTTTGAATCACGCAGATCTGTTACGCAGCAATGGTACTATTTGCAAGAGAAAGAAGTTGGTGCGAAGTCAGGATGCTGGGTCCCATTCAAGAGAGAGGGGCTTCTCACCCCGCCTGGCACGCCATGTATTGGTCGAATGTAACAAATCTGAACAGGAAATGATGACCCAACCCCAAGTTTTTAAGAATTCATCAGTAACCTCCCAGCCCGTTGGATCCCAAGGATCGCTCCAAACCAGCAAGCCCGGGTTATGGTCAGGAGCCTGACCACGCATGGCATGGCAAAGCTCCGCCTCGTCAAAACTGTCAGCATGCTGACGCAGAATGTTGTCGCGCAGCGCCGGCATAGGGAGAAGATCAATCCACGGATGATGAAGAGTTGAGCGCTGTAAGTCGCTAGGCTGGAGTGCAGTGGGAAGTCCCAAAAACCTGGTTGTGGTTAAGTTGGGTTCGAGTGGGTATGGGCCACGAAGTTTGTTGAAAGGTGAAAATGCTTCGTCATCCATTTCCTCATCCGAAAGACCCAAAACCTCTATATTTGCAAACAAGGCTTTCACAAAGTTAAACTGGGAAAGGCTTGGAAGGAGATTCAGGGCTCCGATATGGGCTGTGTAACTTCGGGTGGCAAAGGCTTCGAAGCGGTCCATCACTAACTGATTGCCCTTCCAGCTTGGCTCGAGAATTTTGACGAGATTAATGATTTGAATTGTCGCATCGGTGATATCGGTGATAGCGTTAATATTCAAAATCTCCGAGCACTCGAAGGGTGGTGTACTTCTAGAGTGGCCTCCAACGCCGGGAAGCGATCTTGAGCCAGAACCACTGCGACTCACGGTAGTAGTAGCCCTATGGTTGTCGGCGCCCTGCAAGGTCTCTATGCCCGTTCCAGTTGCCGCAGCCGTTCCCCGCTTCTTCGATCCTGTTGCACATTTTTAGTTATCAATCCTGTCGAATGCGTTGATCGCGACATAATCGAGTTGGGGTTGGTCTAAGTGGAGGCTACTCACGGGATGCCCGCTGGTTACGACGATTCTGAATCTTCCTCCTCTCGCGACTATCTGAGACGCCTAGCCAATCGTCTACGTCTCTGACAAGAATTTGTCCAATTGAGCCGTGGGGGTAAAAAGAATCCATTGAGAACCTTAGCGAGGCGATCTACAACGGTTGAGATCTGGGATGTGATTAGATGATGGCAAGCTCCACACACAGTACAGGCACGTACTCCAAGTACTTCCTAAAAGCAGAGGGTACTGCGGATTTAGTACAAGTACCATACACTGTATATCCGCTGTCTCATGGAGATAAGACAAACAGCCGCGTGGCTAGAGTATCGGCATCACTGCGAGTTCCACAATTGATGGTGTGGTGTTGACTCGTAACAACTACTTCGCCACAGCTCCGTAATACTTCTAAAAGGGGCAGGAAACCGCGTTAGGTGCCTTTGGCGTCTCTCCGTGGCGGCATTATTAAACCGCATAATTTAGTCCCGCCGTAAACTTGATCAAGGCCTGATATTACTCTACAGAAAATCCTACAGAATTTCTAAAAAGTTCTACTCTGATAGAATAGATGCTAAAGAAGACTTTAGGACTTAATTTGTATTTTTGCGATTTATTTTGATCGTTTCAAGAGGGGGGATAGTAGGGTGCATCATGTCAAATGTGCGGTTTAATGGCGACATGGAGAGGCATGGTGTTCTGGAGTGCATTTCTATACCATTTTAAATATTTCCCCGCATCTTCAGACTCTCAGATTCTCTCAACGTAAACAAATCTGTAATGTAGCCCTTAAAGTAAAACTATCAACAAGAGCTATTGGTAAGCTATAGAGATATGACAGTGCCGCTTTTGTTGTCTATCAACACTTGAGAACCATCAAACGGGGAATTTTTGGAGAATCGCCCTTGGCATTAGACGATCCAAATTTGCTACTCCACTTAAACACAAGAACTCCAAGTTTTCGTAGATTCCCCCGACTCCTCTTCTCAGTGTAAATACTCGGTTTCGTTATTGTACTTTCCTAATTGCACTCTCAGGCCTCTAGTAAGTGGATATGAATTAAGATGTACCACTAAGGCTTTTATCAGTAGTGAATCTGTGCTCCCACCTTTTTATTTTCCTCTTTCACTTGCCCTTTACGTTCATTCATGCTTTCTGATTGGTCAGGTTATCCTTTCTAGCCCCGAAGCCCTTGGTTTTGCCAAGCTAAAGTCTTAAAAGTGCCCACTAAATAGACGTAGATCATTAGGGGGGTCTCGCTACAGGGCGAATTCTAGACTTTTTAGATAACGGGAAGCTGCGAAATCTCTAGAAGTAGATATGACAGACTAGGGAATAAAACCCACTACTCCTACTAGCTCAAGTCTCTGTTACTCACATCCACCCACATCCACTTCCTGGTGGTCTGAGAGTGCAATTAGGAAACTACAACCGAGTACCTTGGCAAGCGTTTTAGCAAGTCTTTACCACGTTCTGGTTTTTCTAAATCAGTTTATAGCATCAACATCTCGCAAGATTCAGAACTGCCTTCCCGCCAAGGGGTGACATTGGTGAACCAACCCACACAAAGCTCTATAGGCGGAAGTCATTTACTTCCTTCGAATTGAAGTAAATCATGCATTGCCTGGTTGCTGGTAAGTGCTGCTCATATTCGGCCCAGTAAGTGGCCGAATTAAGTGGCCGAATTAAGTATACATAAACGAGCCAATCAAAATGCACCAATTTCACCAGCTCTAAAACGACGATCAACAATGCGATATCTCCAAATAGCTTCAATTTATCTCGTACCAGCCTTTAATAGGTAGGTTCTCTGTCGGATATTAGTACCCCCACACCTTCGGCCTCTGCGTCGAGTTACGTCGATAAAACGGTCGGATAGCTCTGAAAACTCACCCTAAATCCGGGACTACGAAGTAATATAGGTGGATATAATCTACTAGTTTATAACAGTTGCTAGGTGACTTCCGGCGATTTGTGCATAAGTATTGGGCAAACTTAGTAAAAATAATATAAACTTAGCAGCAGTACCCAGTATTTACGTAGTTGATCTACTATATTGATTCCGGTTTTGGGGTAGATTGTCCGAGCTTTTCGGCCATTTACAGTATCTGGTAAGAAAAGTAAAAGTGGGGCCGTTGCTTAAGCCAACGTCTAACATCCTGTGGATGGCTTCCTCCGTAGATCTGGTGGAGATCTGCCCAGATCTCGAGGAACCACAGACACTGCAACTGTCATCAACCTGCATATACGCTAGACGATTCCGAGGAGTTCCCCGTAGTAGGGTATCATCCCTCGGCAATGGACCTGTGTAAGACTTGAGCGACTGTCGGTACTTGGGCAGAAATGGAAAGCCGCAAACAACACTGGCTAATATTTTCACCATTTACTTCCCGCTCTATTTGTTTTTCATACTTATATATCGAAGTATATCGTGTAACTCTGGTGCTATTAACATTGGACCTCGGCTATTAACATTGGACCTCGGCGAAAATCAAGTCACCTTCAATTGGAAGGTAGTATTCTAGAAGTGCATTATTTATGGAATACCCGACTGTTGATCTTCCCGGCTCATGCAAAAGAATTGGGCGGGCCGTTGTTCACTCCACTCATCTAAGCGGGGATGCGGTATCTTTACGCCAGGTTCCGGAATGTCGCCTCTTCACACGGAATCTTGGCCGCCGTCAAGACCTTGAGCGGTTGTAGATTCAGGTACAGCAGCATCGTCATGGTTAATCTGTTCGATCTTCAATGCAAGTCGGTTCAACGTTGAATCCACCAGCGAGCCAACTTATTAAAGGAGCATGGCTGCACACATTCTTCGCTCTTCACCCAGCCCGGTTCCAGCAGTTTGAAAGTCTAGTTCATTTTACCTCTTTCTACATCTTCTGCCAGCATCATGTGGTCTAAACAGCTTGCCCTTACCTTGGCCCTGCCATTTGCCACCGCCTCTCCTGCTTTGAGATCTCTCCAAACCAGAGATTCCGCCAGTCCACAAAGCTGTACCCAAGCAGTAAGTATATATTCGTTCAACAGAATGAAGGAAAATATGAGAGTCTAACAGGAATAGTGTTCTACACTTGAGACCCAATTCCCAGGAAGGCTCCATTACAAGGCGAACGATTCCAACTTCGTTATCTGGGACCAAAAGCAGCTTCAGACAGCATATGTCTGCCGTGTGCAGCCATCATCGTCTGAAGAAGTCTCTAGTGTTCTCAAGGTTCTTTTGGAAAACTGGTGCCGATTCTCCGTTAAGGGCGGTGGACACTCTCGAAGCGTGGATGATGCTGTTTCCAATGGAGGAGTTACCATCGACTTGAATCTCCTGAATGGTACTACCATTGCTGATGATAAGGCTTCTGCTCGTATCCTCGGTGGAACCCTAACCCGTGACGCCTACACAGATCTTGACAAAGAAGGGTTGGCTTATGTCGGTGGAAGATTAGGCCAGATTGGTATTGGAGGTTTCTTGCTTGGAGGTGGAACCTCTGTCTCCTCATCCAAGTACGGATGGGGTTTAGACAATGTTCTCGAGTATGAGGTAAATATCCCTCAAATCCAACAACATAATATCCCGCTGACAATGATAGGTTGTTCTTCCAAACGCAACCATCACCACAGTTACCGAAACCTCAAACCCTGACATGTTCTTTGCCCTCCGAGGAGGCGGTAACAACTTCGGAATCGTGACTGCCTTTACCGTCAACACCTTCCCACTAGGCCAAGTATACGTAGGTTCGCGAACCTTCAGTGACGCGGCTTTGGACGCATACTTTGTGGAGGCAGAGAACATATTCACCCTCCAAGATGGTGCGGATACCAACATCGTAATGGAGAGTCGATATCTCTACGACAAAGCCTCGAACAGCTATACCATGGGTAACACCCAACGCTACCTGGAACCCGTCATGAGCCCACCAGTTTTCGATACTTTGAACGCAATTCCAGGAACTATTGGTAACCTCACCGGGGGTCTCAACACCCTTGCAGCCAGTGTAGCATTCAGTAGGCCACTCGGAGTATCAAGGTATGTTTTTGTGTCACGAAGGTAACGAGAGTGTAAGTGGATGATGCTAATTCCCTTATAGAAACAGCTTCACCACTCTGGCCAATTACCCATCCCCAGCTCTTTGGAAGAAGGCCACCGAGATCTTCAAAGAACTCTACGGAGGCTTGCCTAACACTACTACCATCAACCCCAACTTGATTACCTACTCCATTCCAGCTGGAGCGATTGAAAAGATGAAGACCAAGGGAGGAAACGCCCTCGGTATTGATGTCGATGGACATCTCGTCAGTAAGTATCCCATTGTCACGGGATCAACACCCAAGTTAGTGCAAGATTAAAATATACTAATTATACCCAGTGAACCTTTTTTCCGTGACATGGACCGACGCCGCTGAGGACGAGACCGCAGCAAACCTTGCAGAAACCTATTACAAGTTGTGGAAACAAGCTGCCATCGACCTTGAAGTTTTCCACCCGTTCGTCTACCTCAATTATGCTGATACGCCACAAGATCCCTTCACCTCATACGGTGAGGAGAACAAGCAACGCTTGATGTCTATCCAACAGGCTATTGACCCACAAGGTGCTTTCCGATCATCCGGATTGTGGACTGGATACAGAAAGCTACTATAAGCGTATGTGGCGAGGACAGGACGTCTTAATTGTATCAAACTGTTTTGATACTGTGTTTGAGTAATTGAATAGGAAAATGGTTGTAGGTTTGTGGCCGCTTAAATTTTGGGCTTCTGTATTTTAGTACTTAATACTACAGATCTTGCTTATGAACTTTCTATCTACCTTTTTGGGTATCTCCATGTCCATCTGAAATCATAATCAAATAAACTTACTAACGCTCAAATATCTATTACCTCTGAGCTACACTATATATCCTGGATTAATGGTTGTTCATACTTGGGAGTCCAACTACCATAAAAATGTAAGTTTAATGCGATAAAACATAAGCCGACCTATTAGCCAGACTCTTCTCACAGTAAACGGCCGGCCAGTGAGCAGATAGAAGTCTTCATGTAATAAGTAGGAGCCAGTAATGGTCAGTGCGTCCTCCTACTGCGCAGTCGCTTGTACTTCGTCCCAGGCGAAATAAATGTATTGCTAGGGTGGCTAAGATTGGCAACAGAGTAAAGACCCCTGAAGACCCTACATTTATTCCGCTTAGGACGAAGTAACTGCGCAGTAGAAAGACGCACTGACTATTAGATCGCTTGTTAGCCCCAAAACTCAGAACAACGATGAATTTCACAGCTCCTATCTCCCAAAATTTATGTGTTCAAGTTTAGAGATATAGTGCCTTACTTGAGGGTGCGTACACGTCGAATTGTTTCCGTTGGCATTTTCCATCCTTAGTACACAGAGGCTAAATTGCAGGTCAGATTGCTCCAGGATTCTATGCAGGTATAGAAATAGCCCGAAGCATTTCAAGATACCTGAGGCCTTATAATAATCAGCTCTTACGGCGCAGTGCAGTGTTGGATGGTGTTTCGAATTTCCTTACTGTGAGCGACCCGCCGGCGCGTAGCACTTGCTGGAATCAGGTATCTAAATTCTTCAAAGTAACCACCCGCATCTTTGAACGAGGCGCTGCTTCAGCTACGTCTCCATCTCTACATCTATCTCAATTCTTTCTCATATCAGAATGTCATTATGACTACCCTTCGAGGTCCTGAAACAATAAAGGAACTGGTCACGAATTGGGTTCCACTCACTACTGCTGGACCTCCGTTAATTGTCTGCTCTTCCTCGCTGTACTTCGTACCAGGACAGTCTTCTCTGATTCTGGCTTTCGACCCCTATTATGGGAAGTTTATTGATAGGAACGTTCGCTGTCTCGCCACGGAAGTGAGTCTATGGTGGGACCAGTATAGTACTAGTAAGATACACCAGAAATCATAGCGAGTGCCTCTACAGTGAAAATTTCGGGGCTCATGACATCTAGGTAAACTTGTTATCAATTTGGGACCATTTTCATGCCCTGGCGGTTATTCAACGGCTGCTATCAGTCGAATAAACGACTACACTTCATATGCAGGCTGTTGTCCATTGTAAGTTAATTTTGAAATTCGTCTTCCACTTCGAGGTAGTATGATTCCAACTGACACAAGTAAAAGAGAATATGACTTTGCAGGCACGCTTTTACCGGCCGCTTCGCCCGGCCAATGCTACTCCACTTTGAGCTCTGGACAAACTTTCGTGGCGAAGAAAACCTTTTCAGGAAACATTGGCTCATGGGTAGATACGTCTGTACAAGTGAACACAGTTGGAGTGCGAGTAATTGCAGCTCATGTCAACGGTTTTATGTTTCGTGCAGAATCTTCAAACCTCCCTGCATCAACACCAGCGTCTGCAACCCAGACTGGAACCAACCCAACGAGAGTCCCGAGTATACCTTCAAATACACGAGTGAGTAGCATCTTAGTAGATGGGCCTACTAATGTTCCTACACCCAGCATCACTCCAGAATCTGGGAGCCTTAGCAGCAGTGCAAGAATTGGAATTGGTGTAGGAGCGTCGTTGGCGGTAACGGGCGCAATTTGCCTGATATTTGCTGTAATCCTCTTACGGAGGCGTAATCGGAGGGGCGCCAATTCCGAGAGCGTAAACGAATTAGACGCTGCTGTTGAAGGGACAAAGTTTGAGAGGGGTATGAAAAATAGAGGTTTTACGTACCAGAGAGAAGTACATGAACTGTCAGGTCAAGGCAGGATAATAAATCAAGGGGTTCCAGTAGAAATGCCAACTCGCGAGTGCTAACGGTGGTTTTCAAACTCTGTAACTATATTTTCTTTGGGTAGATGGGTTAAGTTAGGGGGTGCCGGCCGCATAAAGTGGGGTTCAAAGTTGTTTTATAATACTCTAACCAGGTTATACTTTTATCTTTGGGTGTCCAAATAATATCGTTTTATACAATGTTAAACGTCACATTCAAATCTCTCGATACTAATCCCAAACGAAGAGTAATTTACCATATAGTGAAGCAGTTCATTGAAATATGTCCGAAGTATTGGTCCTCTGATAAAGTCATCGTTTCATTGGAAATCCTCTGTATTATGGTTCGTGAAAGTACTCGTAGTACACATTCGGTACTCTGGACACTAATGGTATATCTCCTCCATTTTTTCTGCCTGCCAGACGTTTGGCTGATGAAACCCAAGAGGTTTCTCGTACCATATCGTTTCCACCGAGAATTTCATTGCTATATCGGGTTCAGGAATTTTTGCTCCAAGATATTCTCTCATTTTCTTACAAAACCACTGGTCCTCGTAATCCGCATTTCCATTGGAATGGTCCCCGTGCCTCTCCACTTGCCAGTCGAAATTATTCACAATGTCTAAGCACATTGTTCGATTTCTGATAGATAACCCGCCGTTGTACCCCATGCCTAATCCTTCCCTTACCGGCGCACCGACAAAATCGTATTCGAGGAAGCCTTCGACTTTCAGAGGTGCTTTCGAGCAAAGGATGCTGTCGGCTTGAAATAACAAAATGTGCTCTGCTGGAGCCAGTTGTTCCCAAAGCCAGGGTTTGGTGAAAAAAGCAGAAACACTCGCACGTGAACTAAGTTTCTCTTCTTCTGGCAGTAGTCGCACAATGAAGCGACCTACAGCGACCTCTCGCTGAAAAGGCTCGGAGTCTGTAAACAAGTGTTGCGTTTCTGCACTCGTGAAGATGTGTATGGGCCATTCTGGGCCTAGAACTGAGGAGAAGTGGAGACTTATAGGTACGAGACTTTCTAATGGTTGGTTTTCGACAATTGCAGCTGCCTTCTCGGTCGAGATTTGGAGGCCGTAAGGGTTCGATATCTGAGTTTCTGTTTCTGGGCTCATAGCTTGAGTTGTGTAGTTTGCACCTCGAAGTAATAGAATCGCGAAAACGAGGTTTGTAACAAGAAGAATAGCAACGGCAGAAGATAGCCGTTCGCGCCCAGGGATTAGGATCTTTCGGTTGTGAGAAATAAAAGGTTCGATTTCTTGACTTTCCTCCGAAGGGCGTGTCATCGCTGGAAAGACAACTGACTACCTGCACAAGGTAGGTTTGATAAACTTGGAAAACACCCCGAATAATAAGTGGAGTAGCGAAATACAGGTAATAGAGGGTAAAAAATGACAACAAGTGCCGATATGAAGAGAAGCGTCCGCGCCAATCTCCAGAACCAACAATTCACCAACATCTCATGCTCCGTGCCGTATGCATGTCATCGCCCCCACGAAATGTGTAGCGCTTATTGAAACAAGGATACATCTTACCCAATAATGTGCGGCATGGCTTCCTAGACACTCTACTGTGAATAACAAGGTACTCTCGGTGCTATTTTCGGTGCCTAAAATATTATTGTTATCGCTACCTTGATGTCGCTACAGTACTAGAATGTACCTTCTATATATAAATATTTAACTATACTCTGGGAGGTTTCATGTAAGGGCCGCCAATAGGCTGTATCTTAGTAAGCAAGCGGCCCTTATACGAAACCCTACCGAGTACTACAATAGTATTAGACCTTAGTCGATAAAATATTTATGCATAAGTAATAGAAATGGTCTTATTGTAACGAATACTCAAACTGGCTAACTAAACTTGGCTGGGTGTTCGCTGGTTGGTATGCTATGATAAGAAGAAGACTATCGGGTTGTTCACTTGGAAGTGAACTCGTTACTCGTATCAAAGATGTCAAACTAATATGATAAGATTGATAACTAAGTTGAGCACGAAGCTCCTATCTAATGGCAGACGTGCCAGTCCTATATAGAACCTTCATTCTCCATGATCGCTGCTGGTCGCCGCGACCAAGCGACCACTACTGGTCACGTGATAACAATACAGAGAAATTCCTGGATCGCTTAGCTACTCCAAACGATCCCTATCTGCTATAAGAAACCTGGATGTGCCTGTCGAGGGTTGCGCCTCTTATTATGACAAGTATCACGTGAGCACGTGATTCGTGACACTTATTTTCTTTCAATATTATACAACCGTTTATTGATGGGAATTACTAAAGAGACTTAAGCTTTATTAAAGTATAGTATAATATAATAAAAAGTCATATACTTACACCTCTTCTCTAGTCAAAGTATAAAAAAGACCATAAATCATCGCATGTAATACTGTGAACATAGGCTGTGGTGCGTTCTATTGATTCCCAAGAGTAGCTCTTGTCTTCCGCCTAACATTCCATCCACTAGTACACTTATAATCTGTTAATCATGCATTGAGCACATTGTTTTCAGTGATGGCAGCTTGATCTTTCTATGGTTATTGTTATTGATACTTTATTACTATGGAAGTAAAACTTAATAACCCAAATATTCTGGTAAAGTCAATTTGGGAACAGAAACACGAAAGTATAATAATATTGAACAAAACCAGATACTTGGTTTTAATGTAACAGAAACGATTTGATGGCAAATAATGGGTTTAGAAACTGTTCATTGTTAGGGCATCTCATCATGTAAAGGACTGAGCGATGACTACTAATTCACAAATCGCATTTTCACGCATATTCTACTGCTACCATGTTCATACTATGAGACCTCAATCTCAGTAGCATTTCTCAGTCGTACTATTGCATGCTATTCCCTCATTGTCATACCCGCATTGTCGTATGTATATTACCGCAGCCTTACTGCAATACCCTCAATTCGTAACCTTGTTGTTGGTCCACTGTTTTTGGATGTGTCCACTGCTGTACACGACGTATAGGATGCCTGCCCCAATTTTTGATTGGAATTGAAGAGAAAGAAAAGACAAGGCAGAATCAGGGGGATTTTCTGTTGCTTCACTTAACTTCTCACCCCTTAATTCTACCTCAAAGAGGCTGAGCCAGCACATATTGTGCTACCAATTGGTCACACTTACCCCGCTTGTGATGTGACGTGACAGTAAGGCTTTACGAGAACAAAAGGTCACAACAGAAAACATGCATGCAATTGTGTAATAGCAATTGTGAAGGGTAGCGACACTGAGCACAGTGAGGTGGTATGATGCTGAGGTTTGAGCTTACCCTTCCAAATTTGGGCAATCCGCCTCTGCATGTTTGTACTACATGTTCAATTAATTCTAAAAGTTGCACTTAGGTATCATCAGCATGTGATTGTAGGGGTTGAAGAGGAATATTAGCAAGGCCGTTGATTGGTTTTGATTGGTTTTCGGCAAGGAAGCCGTTTCCTATCACTTTTTTAACTGGCTAGAACTCTCAGAGGGCATTTGTGCCAGCTACATAGCTTTCTCATAAATTCCTTGTTAACTCTATATCGCTAGTACACCGTAGACTTCAGTAATACAAATCCATAAATCGTGAGTTGCTACAGTATTTACAAACGATAATTCTATTATAACAAAACAATTGTGATATGGGTCTCCTAGATGTGCAAAGTAATATGCTCACAATATTGGAATAAATAGCTATATAGAGTAGTATAAATTAAAAGCTAGCCTTTGAAAAGGTATAAAGTGTTTGTATCTCTAATAGTACTAGGAATACAACAAAGCAAAGAAGGTTCTACTATATTTAGTAAGTAAGTCTAATTACACTCTTATTCTCCATTCTTCCTTGCTCAATAATTTTCTCAAACATAAAAGCGCCAACATCCTTCCGGCTGATTGAATATCCTATAGCTCCTCTTTCGCCTTGTAGCGCAGACTTCACCTTCGCAGTCCCTTTCTCCTCACCATCTGTAAGCAACGTAGTTTTCACAATGACATGCCCTTTGAGAACACCCTCATCACTGGCGCTCATAACAGCTTTCTCCATGTTTAATTTGTCGGTATGGGCCTCATGCAACAGGTACGAATATAGGGGGATATACAGCGACGGAACATCTTTCTCTTCAGTAGTCCCAGTTGTGCTGATAGCCACCAATGCTGGTTTACCACTCCCTTCAGATGATGTAGCACATCTATTCTTCAGGACAAAGGTGATGAACTTTATGCCATCAGCACAAATTGTCGGATCGTCGAGCTGAACACTCGGAATAAGGCAATTCCATTTGAAAGAAGGCGTTGCACCGATACCGTATATGATGAGATATATACTGGTATTTGAATCGGCACGAGGAAAGAGCGTGGACGTGACGGCGGCCTCATCTCTAATATTTCCCTCGATGACTGTGAGATGATTGGAGATTTGAGATTCGGTGACTGAGTATTGTGTAGTGAGAAAGGTGACGAGTTTTATTTTGTTTCGAGCCACTGGGGAATAAATTAGTTCGGGTGAAGTGATGAGCAGAGAATATATTTTGAACTCACACGCTCGACAGGTGTAACCAGATTTCAAGCATTTTGCCAATGTAGAGCCAGCACAACCGCCTCCAGCTCCGAAGAATGCAATGGTTGGTAGAATAACTCCCATTTTGAAGTGAAGGTGACAGGAGAGAATTGTGTTCAAGAAGATTTGTTGGTTAGAAATTGTCTTATGAATATGTGGCTGCGGATGCGTGTTTTTTTGACCTGTTTTAGTGATTAGAATCTATTCAGATAATTTCACAGTATTTATAATGTTTTGGGAGTGCTTAACGGTGTCCCTCGAAGGTCCTATCTCCTACCCCTGTTACCTCACCAAGGCCTTAGCGAAAATTCATTCGGACACTCCAGAAGAACCAGAGACTTTCAAGTTCGATTTCCCTTGCATACTATGCCCGGATCGTATTTTTCTAATACATTCATATGACAGATATCATGTTAAAACTCCATTCACACTTCAAATCACAAGATGGCAAATCCCTAAATTAGCAGCTGTCACGTGACCAGCTCATGCACCATAATTTGCAGGGATGCAGGGGTAGGAGTTAAAAGGATTCTCAACTCCGCATTTGCGATTCTACTCCGCTAATAATTATTCCGTATAACTTTAAGTTATATTTTATATTTATTTTTATAGTTTATAAGAGGAGTAATAGGAAAAGTATATATAGGTAAAATATATATAGTTAAAGTTACTTATATAGAGGTTAGTAATACTAGGGGGTATTAGAATTCAAGACGTAGTCCCGGATTTCCGCCGAAAATATACTAAAAACTACGTTTTAATAACCCTACAACTCTACGAAATTATACAAGAACTATATATGATATCTTATATATTAACTCTCTAGTATATATAGACTAAGTATATCTACGAGAGTTTTTATTAAAACCTAATATTTTAAGAGATACTCTAGTAAAAAGTTTTCTCTTAGTAAATTCCCTATTAAATTTACTGTCACGGATGCCAACAAAGGATAAAGTGTATACAGCTTTTGAATCAATTGCTAGAACTAAAACCGTAGGTACGAAGAAATCAAACTAAAGAGAGAAGAGAATCTGAAAGGAGCGAAGTTATTTAAGTTGTTCCAATGCCAAGTCTCGTCACGTGCTTGGCCAAGCGAATGAAATCCTGTCAAATGAAATCCAGCTCCGTCACACTTAGTCTACTATAATATTTAGCGGCCTAAAAGGTTCGATATAAGCGAATTAAGTATAATATCTTATATAATCTAGACCTTACTTAGGATATATAACTAGAGTTCTTTCCTACTTTAAATAATATACTATTTTTACTTCTTAAATTATGATACCATTGTCACGGGTCGAATGTCGCGATTCGGTTATTCTTCCTCGTGACCGCGGGACAAGTGGCTGAAGATTCCAATGCCAAGTCTCGTCACGTGCTTGGCCAAGCGAATGAAATCCTGTCAAATGAAATCCAGCTCCGTCACACTTAGTCTACTATAATATTTAGCGGCCTAAAAGGTTCGATATAAGCGAATTAAGTATAATATCTTATATAATCTAGACCTTACTTAGGATATATAACTAGAGTTCTTTCCTACTTTAAATAATATACTATTTTTACTTCTTAAATTATGATACCATTGTCACGGGTCGAATGTCGCGATTCGGTTATTCTTCCTCGTTCAATTTATTATAATTTATTAAAATCGGGTATTTTTAGTATATTTTCGGCTAAAATCTAGGACTACGTCTTTAACTCTAATAACCCCTAGTAGTAAGACTAATTTTCGGTTATTTATAAAAGATCTCTCTCCGAATCTCTAGGTAGAAAGCTTTACTATAAAAAACTATTACTTGGTATTAGGGATAAAGTAGAAGACTATTAGATTAAGCTATATAAAAAGTAGAATAAGGAGAGTAGCTAGCTAAGGGCGAATAGTATAGCTCTACTATAGGAGCTATCATAGGCCTAGAAGTATCCGGAATAGAACTAGCGCCTTCTATGGAATATACTAGTACTTAATAGAGCTAGATAGAAGAGCCGAGAGTACTTACCCAGATACGCTACGGGGTATCGAACCGATAATACTCGAGTTATATGTAAGTTAATCGAGTACTTAGCGACTTAAATTAAATAGCGATTTTCACTATAGTACCCGAGGTAAGTTTAGATACTACTACCTAACTCAACTACCCGAATTCACCACGCTATATTACCTTTGAGATATCTAAGGTAATGAAAGAAACGTATATCAAAGTAGAGAGATATAGATATAATAACCCGTTTAAACTCAGGGTTCAATACTTGGATATTCTATCTATCTAGATAGGAAAATAAGATTCTTTTATTTCCACTTTGATATTTCTTTTCTTATAATAATAATGTTTAGAAGACTAGGTACTTACTTACCTTTTAGTTAGAAAGCGAGTTGACCTATCTATATATCACTATCCCTATCCCTATCCCTCGGGATCAAAGGGATAAATTCTAAAGGCCTTTTCTTTTTCAGATAAATATTCCTATTTATGTCCGCGTAAGTAAGATTACTTGTCGAATAAAAGGAGGGGGGGAGAGAACTTCTTCTATCAGTTAGTTCGGCGGAAAGAAGTAAAAGCGAAGCGAATACGTTAAGGGAATGAAGCGTCGTCTTGGTTAAAAAGAAATTGGGCTTCGAGGTTAGTGGACATGGAACGAGTAAAAAGTGTGAGAGATATAATAACATTATCGGGACTTATATATATATATATATATATTGACCACTTCACCCCATCTCAGCCAAATCACCACCCCCCAGATCCCCCTCCCTTTCCCTCCTCTAACTTCCCTCCCCAAGAAAAACCCNTATATATATATATATATATTGACCACTTCACCCCATCTCAGCCAAATCACCACCCCCCAGATCCCCCTCCCTTTCCCTCCTCTAACTTCCCTCCCCAAGAAAAACCCACCAAAACACTCAAACAACAAGCGCAGCATTCCACGCATCCGCCGCACTCTGATCCTTCGTCCCCAGGGCCTTGACCTTCGCCTTCGCATCCAAACACGCAGTGACCGCCTCCTTACTCGCACCACAGCCGCCATTCTGGCCGAGGACGTCGCAGATCCGGTTCGTGATGATGTTGGGGTCCTTGGCCTCGGTTTGCTTCGACGAGATGACCGGGTCGACGGATTGGAAGGTGAACTCGGGACCGCGGCTGGCGATGCCGGCTTCGAATTTGATTTGCGGGTTGCAGGTTCCGAAGTCGAGAGCCCCTCCGTTACCGCCGCCCGAGGGGGTGGTGCCGTTGTTGTTGCTTTGTTGGTTGTTTTCTTGGTTGTTCTTGTTCTTTTTGTCGTTTCCGGGTGCTGGGGTGGGTGTTCCGGTTACGGTTGCGAAGGTGGTTGCAGGAGGGGAACCGCCGCCGGGAGTCTTGAGATACATTAGTCTTGAACCAGGAAGGATAGTAAGGGGGCTTCAAGAGATACTTACAGGAGTGGCCTCGGCTGCTTTGTTGTCTTTTTTGTTGTCCTTGTTGTTGTCCTCATTGGCAACTCCACCGGCTCCCTACTTAAGTGTTAGTCGAGTATACCAAACGGATAAACACGAGGTCACTTACACCACCACCACCACCACCACCACCACCACCAGCTGAATCCTTTGGAGTAAAGTTGGTGAAACCAGCTCCAGTTGCCAAATCCGCAATCGACTTCCCCGTGGCATCAAGAGGTGTCTTCAAAGAAGCTTCAGATGCGGCGTTTGCGACATCGGCCCCAGTAACAGCTGGATCAACCTTGGGAAGGATACCTCGGAGAGACTCAGTAGTTGGAAGAGATGGGTCCGAGCAAAATGATGGTTTATCAGTGGTAGATGGGTTGAAGTTCTGTTCGGCTGCTACAAGTCCCTTTGCAGCTTCCAGACCACCATCCCCAAGCTTGGCAACAATCTCGTCGGCTTTGGCAAGCTAGTTGAATGTCAGTGAGAGATCTCAGAAGGTGCCAGAGATGAAAATACCTTGTCACACGGATTTGTGCTTCCTAAAAGAGTTGAGACTGCAGCACCACCAAGAGTTGCGGCTTCGCCGGGGTTGCCACCTATGGAGGCTGAGATAGCTGCAATGGGCACTTGTTCTTGGTTGAAACGGGCCTCAGCCAATGCCACGAGGACAGCAAGTAGAACTGCTTTGGAATACATCTTGATCTGGAGTTCGAAGAAAAATCTGGACCGGCCTAGTTGTTTGTAAAGTGTGTAGTAAAATATATGAAGAGAATGTAAAAAGTTCACAGAACTGGCAATGAAAGTAAAGTATCAAGAGATGAAGCTGAAGAGGGATGGAGGAGAGAATGCAACAAGGGAAACACCAACGTTCATATATAATGATGTAGCCAACGTACGTGACTACATTTCCACAATTCAGTAACGCAGATCTACCTCGTGATGTGGGTAGGGGTAGGCAAGATGGGCTTGGAGCCTCTACAAACACATTGATGGATGCCTCGATCGATGTCAGAGATGCAGGCGTTCGTCTCATCTGGTAAACTGTGGGGAGAAGGTTTGCAGGCATCATCGGATGGCATCATGGCAACCGCTTTCTTCTGGCTGAGCTCGCGTGCAGAAGGGCGGCGCTTGCAAAAAGGTAGGGAGGATTGCGTATTCGTTGCCAAAAATGAGGCTTGGGATGAACATGATGCGAGTGAAAGCATGGGGAACCTGGCCAAGAGTATCAGATTTGTAAACCGGCCGCGGCGGGAGACAGCGTTCGTTGTATGGAATGCGAAACATCGTGTTCGCGGATCTTGAGATCTCAAGGTGGGGTCGTACTGTAACGGGATTTATCCGTTAGTGGAAGCGAGATGCTTTTGGTGTGTGCCCTCTTACTTCGAAGTAAAAATGCTGATAGAAGTGATGCCTTGGTCACATTTAAATTAATAACATTGAAGAGATTCAAAAAATCTCTTTCCCCACTGAACTAAACTCAAGACGAAATTGTTACAGTGCCATACAATCGAATCCTCAATTTTCTGCGCTAAATCTTTGAAGGAATCTCGATTGAACGGTGTAAGGTAAGTCAAGTTCTCCGAGACAAACGAGGTTTGATGATCCCAAGATGATCTCCAAGGAAGGGTACTTCGTAAATGAAGCTTGAATTTGCGACGAATTGTGCTTGGCATGTCTTCATTTTCATGGTATTTTACCGCCGGGGAATGTTTGCGTCTGATCGATTTAGGCTGGAAGCGCTCAATATTCGTATTTCGTATGTTGAAACTGCCATGCCACGTTTAGGCCCCTTTATTCTCGATACTAAGTACGCCGCGGTATACTTCGAAGTAACATTGGTTGGTATGAATTGGTGACGATGGCCGTGGCCACTAACAAAACGATCCAAGTCAATCCTTCAATGATTTGACACCTTTGCCTCGGAGTCAGATGTAAAAGTACCTCTTCTGTGTCAGCATCTTTGTCAATATCGAGAAAACATCAAACAATTATTGCCTGGCGAGGACGCTGTATTCGTAACGAGCTTGCACTTGAAGAAAACGAGACGCTCACTATTTGAATGGCAATATGATAGAATACCGTCGCTGAGCGGACAATACCCAACAAAGGAATCAATGAACACAGAAGTTGATGGCTGACGTAGAATTAGCTTCTCAATAAGCAGCAAGGAAGATGTCGAAGTTACGAACTCTATAGCTATCCAGTCCTGAAAGACACACCACGCTGGCATATCATCAGCCTACAAAAAAACATACCTTACGAGCCCTAGTCTAAGAATTCGACTCCACGGTTCATCAGATAAATCAAGCGTTGTCTACAGAAGATCAAAGTCAAAAGATACTTTACAAGGCACCAAGTTCAGGCTGCTGAATACGTGCAGGACGGAAGCGGGAGCGGGAGCCCATACCAGGTACCATAGTCAACCAAATTCTGGTTCTCATGTTTCTGGGCGTGCCCTCCCATCTTCCTCAAGTACTCGTCTCGTGCAGTAGGTTGGTAAATTTAGACATTACGGCGGGGCAGCCGCTAGCCGGCTCTCAACCCAAGCTTTCCCGCCATGGCACGTGTCTCACTCAAGCCACGGGGCGGGGTTCTAACCGGTCAGATTCCTTCTCCTTCCCAACGCGACGCTCTGATGAGCTTCTACTCGCACCAGTAGCCAGCCACCTGAGTTGCGCCTTCCCATTTCACAGTACAAAGTACTCGAGTAAGGAGTAAGGAGTACCACGAACTGGCCAAGACGTGAAGAGGTCTCAAGGCCACTGATGGCACTGAAAGGGCAGGCACGACTCTGTCCACCTGTCCACCCCTCTCGCCTTACCTTCCATACCTGTACACTTATACCAGGTATCCCGGACGTTCACTGGGAGTGGGGCGGAAAGTTGCGAGTGAGGGAGGGTAAAGGCGAAGAAGAGGAAAGATGGATGGACAAGTGTGATACAGTCGGCTAAAGGGATTCCGGTAAGAGAAGATGGCGTTTGTAAGTTATGAGTTATAAGAGCTTAGGATGGACAGGTATCTTGTACCTAGAAAGCAAGTTGTTTTTGGCAGGAGTAGGTAGTAACACAAATATACGAAATATCGATACCATACAGTACAACTATCAAACACCGATTTTATAACATGGGCATCCTACCTTCCTAATCTCTCCTTTTCCTCTTCGCCTTCATACTGCGCGAACGGGTCGAGAATGGCTTTCGGTGGCCATTTCGCCGTCTCCTTGTAATCGTCGTACTCAAATACCCACCTACCACTTCCCACCTCGATCACTTCACTTTTGCTTTTGCCCGGTAGCTCAGCGATGCCTGTCGAATTTGGAGGCACAACGATAACCATCTTAAACACCCCCTTCTCAACATCCAGTTCCCACTCGCAGGAGATCAATCCATAAGGACCTAAATGCGAAGTCTTTGCTTTCGTAATAGGACCACCTGGCATCGGTGCGAACTTAATCTTTCTCCATCCCACCTCTTTTATAGAATTCGAATCTTGCGCATTCGGTTTGGTGAAATCAACACCTCCGACGCAGCCAAAAAGCCACTTCCCAACACTACCAAGAGCATAATGGTTAAAACTCGTCATGCTTCCCGGATTGATGTCACCGTTTGGTAGCATACTATCCCATCGTTCCCACATCGTTGTTGCTCCCATCGTGATAGGATAAAGCCAAGATGGACAACGCTTCTCAAGTAACATTCGATATGCGATCTGCTTGTAGTTGTTGTCACCCCCCGAGGTAAGGGCAGGCAAGACCATCGGCGTTCCTACGAATCCTGTGCCGATTCGGAACCTTGAAGCGCTTGAAAGACGTGCTAATCTTGCGCGAGCTTTCTCCTTTTCCTCTTGGTTTCTGAATAAATCAAATTCCAATGCAAGAGATAGAGAGGTCATGGTATCTGGAGCCAGACGACCGGCTGGGGTGATATATGTATCTTGGAATAATGATTCTAAAGTGACTGACATTTTCTCGAAATTTTGTCTCTCGTTGGGCTCTCCGAGAATACCGGCAATTCGGCCTATGAGCTTAGTTATATGGACAAGATAGGCGTTCGCGATGAAATGGGGATCGGTTCTCCCATCAGCTGGCGAAGCAGCTGGGGCAGCGGGGTCAAGCCAGTCCCCTAGTTGATGCATTGTATCATCCCAAAGTCCGTTCTCTTGCTTAGGAATACTATTCCACCAAGCTTTCATGCTCAGAAATTGACTTTCTAGGATGGACATATCGCCAAAATTGAGAAAGAAATCCCAAGGCGTAATGACCGAGACATCGCCCCATACTGCCTGTGCCTTGTTCAGGCGCGCTTCGATGACATTGGGAACAACTTGTGGAACCACGCCATTGAATTCTTCGATTTGTTCCACGGACAGATCTTGTAGCCAGCTCCATAGCATACCACTTGTTTCGTAAAGAAAATTTGCGGTTGGAGAAAATATCTGGATATCCCCCGTCCAACCCAAACGCTCATCACGTTGTGGACAGTCTGTGGGAATCCCCACAAAGTTTCCTCTCATACCCCAATGGATGTTCCGGTAAAGCTGATTGACCATCGGCTCGCTACACTCAAACCAGCCTGTCTGTTCCATATCGGTGTGAATAACGACGGCTTCGATGTCCTCGAAAGACGGCGTGCCCGATTCAGATGGCCAGCCATCAACTTGAACGTATTGAAATCCATGAAAGGTAAACTTGGGTTCCCATTCGATACTCTCTCCAGAAAGTACAATGGTATCTATTGCTTTGGCATCTCTGAGTGGTCTTGTAGCAACTTCCCCATGCTCCAAAACTTCCGTATGTGTCAACACGATTTTCTGTCCCTTGGGACCAGTCGTGCGGAACCGAACCCCGCCAACAAGATTTTGTCCAAAATCAACAATGACCTTATCCGACCTACTTTTCCAAATCTTCTTTGGCCTCAGAGTTTCTATCTTTCTAATTGGCGGTGCTTGTGGTGCAAGTAAAGTTGCTTTTGGGAACTCCAATACCTGAACTGGTTTCCATTCGCTGTCTCGAAACTCGCTTGATGCCCATCCTTTCACTTCAGCGGAGCAATCGTACACTTCTCCATCGTAGAGCTCACTCGAGACAATCGGTCCAGTTGAATTTTTCCAGCTCTCATCAGAACCTACAATCAGCTTTTCATCATCTTCAAACACAATCTCGAGTTGCGCCAGTGCCGCGAGTTGGTCCCCATAAATGAATCGCCTGCCGCCCTCAAATCCCAGTCTTCCGCAATACCAACCCTCACCTACCTCAATTCCTATCACATTCTCTCCATCTTTTAGAAGTCTAGTGACATCATGAGTCTGGTATTGTAATCTGTATTTATAACTCGTCCATCCCGGTGCAAGAACATGATCTCCAACTCGGACACCGTTGATGGTCGCTTCATAGACCCCGTAACTCGTAATATACAACCTGGCAGTCGCAACTTTCTTGCTAACTTGGAAGGCTTTTCGAAATAATACTGGTTGCAACGAACCACTCGTCGAGATCTTATTCTCTGCGGTAATCACCTGTGCAACCCATTCATCGCGCTGAAGTCCAGCTTCAACCTCCACGAATTCCGACCATTCGGTAGTTTCGTCCTTATTTCCTGTCGCCCTCACACGCACACGTGCTCGTTCTCTAGAACCCAACGGAGCCGTCGGCCAAGGAACCAGAACGGACTCATCACTGCCAACTCGAAAAGTCTCAGATCGGGCATTAGATGCACGGGCAATCTCAATCTCATAAGACTCCTGTGTCCAGTTCTTCGTATCGCCCTCACTCGTGAACCGCCACGAGATACGCGGGGAGCGTTCACCAATGCCGAGATTCTCACGGTGGTGTTCAAAGGTTGGTGGAGAGATTGATATTGTCATTGCGGATGTTTTGTATGTTGTTTGGGTAGTTTGTTTCACAAAGTTCGTGTTGGAGTAGGAAGGTTTGGAGATGGTGGTGAGGGGTCGATACTCGGTAGTTGTTGGCCCGAGGCTTCCGTACCTAGCGAACCCCTAAACAGGAAGCGTCGGTCTTATGTATTGTTAAGAGTAGGAGATGTGACCTTTGGAGGTAGAGTATAGGAGGCTCGAGGAGCAGAATTGGTAGAAGAGTGAATTGGTTTTGGGTTTGTTTCAAAAGTAATGTGATTTTCACGTGATTTGTTGGAATTACGTAGGTATTGTAGAAAGCTTGAGGGATACGAAGATTCTTTAGTATTGATTCTTGGCTCACAAATTAGCTGGTCATTGATTTTCATGATATATTCCTAGAATTTCAGAGAGCTACTTGGGGCCGGAAGAAGATTTGAACTCGCGATTACGAATTACTAAAGAATCGCTCTAAGCAGATAAAACCAAAACACATTAGTGATTATCACGAGCTATGTCTACAGTTAAAGCACCTGCGGGGCTATATAACAATGAAGACTTTCTTAAGAAGGCTCTCTGTATTATTAAAGAAGCATCTATTTACTCGCTATTTGCTTCTTTCATAGAACTTGTAGTTAATATCAAAAGCTAAGTATTTGAAGGACACGCTTTAAACCCTTAGCTACTCCAAGTAGATGTAAAAGAGCTTCTCTACGTTTTGGGATCCAGTGTTACTTCTACATAGAAGATGTTTAAAGAGGAGTAACGAGGAAGACTATTAGTATTAGCCGTTATCGGAGAATGAAGATTGTATTGTTCTAATTTCGAGATCGCAATGCTACTAGAACAGCAGTTTCTATCCATGAGCAACCATCTTAATATGGTTCTGTTATATATAAATTGTTAATGCAAGAATTTTTTACGATCGTTTCTCTAACATGGTTTCATTCCCATTAATAGTGCGATTCGATCCAGGACTCAGGACAGGAAAACGACTCGCCCTTTTCTTGGTGTAAACACTATGACGTTGGCCCCACCAAGCCTCAAACTCCATCCTGTCAACAACGAATTTCCTTTCTCCGGAGCGTCTAAACTCGACCTTTGCCATACACAACGACCCACAATGGCATGAAGCGCATGAGGCAAAAGAAATGCCCAGATCCACCTCAAATCGATGCCCAAAACGTCCGGAGCCCAAGTAAAATCGGGGTACTTTTACTAAGAATTTCCGTCAAAGGCGGAGCTGGTGGGTCACAGTGGTATCCACAAGCGAAAGCTGAAACGGGACCGGAAACTGAGGCGGAAGCAACTGTAATGCGAACGCCATTCCACTGAACTCCAAGTGATTCCCATGATTGTAGACTTATGGATCTCTGAAGTCTGCCTGGATAACGCGGCTAATTTTCCGGAGTGTTGGTATGTAGCTTAACTTCACTTTTAAAGATATACATGTGCAACCGCAGCATGCATAAACTCCCACGTGAAATAAAATTGTTTTCTATTCAAAATCCTAGCTAAAAACAACAATCAAGAAGTGAAGTTGAGGGGCAATAGTCGGTTTCCCATTCCCGCGAATGTACTAAATCTGTCGTTACATTTATATTACGTCTTTGTAGGGAGACTTTGATGTTCGCAGTGAAGACACCCTCGACACCCAAGAAGATAATGGCTATTACCCTGGAAAGAAACAGTATCTTCGCAATGAATCCCGCCATAACCGCCGTACTAGTTGTAACGAATACTCAAACTGGCTAACTAAACTTGGCTGGGTGTTCGCTGGTTGGTATGCTATGATAAGAAGAATACTATCGGGTTGTTCACTTGGAAGTGAACTCGTTACTTGTATCAAAGATGTCAAACTAATATGATAAGATTGATAACTAAGTTGAGCACGAAGCTCCTATCTAATGGCAGACGTGCCAGTCTTATATAGAACCTTCATACCCCGCGTATGGTCCGAGTATAGAGTAGTATAAGCCTCCCTTATACTTCCTCATACTCCCTAGTCACATGATCTTCTGTAAGGAAGAAATCCTTGGAGTCTTATATAGAACCTTCATACCCCGCGTATGGTCCGAGTATAGAGTAGTATAAGCCTCCCTTATACTTCCTCATACTCCCTAGTCACATGATCTTCTGTAAGGAAGAAATCCTTGGATCGCCTAGCTACCCTAAGCGATCCCCATTTGCTATAAGAAATCTGAATGTGCCTGTCGAGGGTTGCGCCTCTTATTATGACAAGTATCACGTGAACACGTGATTCGTGACACTAGTCTATAGAGGGGAGAAAAATAAAAAGTCTCTGTACATTAGTTAGACTACCGTATTAATTAGTATATAAGATACTATATAATAATCAAAAAGTCTATTAAATAACGAAAATAACCATATCTTATTTAAAAAGTAGTACCTAATACTAGGTAAAGTAATTTAGTAACCGTTTTATAATATTAGTAGTAAAGTTTATTAGCGTATAAATAATAAGTTTTATAATTATAAGAGAGGTTTAGTAGGCTAATATTAGTAAAGAATTCGTAGTAAATAAAGTATAATGTTTATATTATATATTTTACTTTATTAGAGCCTAAGCTACCTATTAATTAATATAGAAGTAATTCGATTTCTTAGGTACTTTATTATCTCGCTCTCAGGAGTCCTAGAATTCGTAGTTGTATAACTATTCTTACTTTCGTATACTACCCTCGCTTATTACTTACTTCTTTTGTTTACTACTTTTGTTTAATAGAATATAAAGAGTAGGTTTTATAGAAGTAAGTATAAATATTAAAGGTATAATAATTAGTAATTTAGTTTAATATTTTTTCGTTGTAATATAGATTTATTCCTTATTTCTTAGATTCCTAAAAGATTATTCTAATTTAAAGTAAGCCTCGCGAGTATAAACGCCTATAACTACTTATAGAGCCTCTAAAGATAGTCTTATAATACCTCTCTTATTAACTACCTAAAAAAGTAATTAATAATTATTAGTTAGATATACCTAGTTAGTATTTACCTTATAATTAGCTCCTTCTCTAGTATAATAGGTAAAAGTTAACTAAAAATTATAAACTTAGTATAAAATTTTATTTATAAATCTAAGGCTTTCTAATAGTACTGTTATCTTTTTAATATTTACTTTATTTGTCACCGATGCCAACAAAGGATAAAGTGTATACAGCTTTTGAATCAATTGCTAGAACTAAAACCGTAGGTACGAAGAAATCAAACTAAAGAGAGAAGAGAATCTGAAAGGAGCAAAATTATTTAAGTTGTTCCAATGCCAAGTCTCGTCACGTGCTTGGCCAAGCGAATGAAATCCTGTCAAATGAAATCCAGCTCCGTTACATTATTAGTAAAGATACTAGCGTTTTTATTATTCTATAATTTCGGGCATAAAAGCCTCTACTAGTATATACTTAGCTACTCTACTATTCTACTTATCTACTCTACTATATATAATTTATAAGCCTTATATATGTCACGAATCACGGTTAGCATGTGACGAGTTAGTCCAGACGGCGTTCTGACAAGACAGATACATCCAGAGTAGTTATAGCATAGCAGTGGTTACTCAGGGTTGTTGAGTATCCAAGGATTTCATAACATTCATAGTCACGTGATAAAAGCGCGACAGCGCGACAAGCGAGTTGTCGGCATTTGGGATTTGGAGAACGAAGGTTCTGTATAAGACTGGCACGTCTGCCATTAGATAGGAGCTTCGTGCTCAACTTAGTTATCAATCTTATCATATTAGTTTGACATCTTTGATACGAGTAACGAGTTCACTTCCAAGTGAACAACCCGATAGTCTTCTTCTTATCATAGCATACCAACCAGCGAACACCCAGCCAAATGGCACGTCTGCCATTAGATAGGAGCTTCGTGCTCAACTTAGTTATCAATCTTATCATATTAGTTTGACATCTTTGATACGAGTAACGAGTTCACTTCCAAGTGAACAACCCGATAGTCTTCTTCTTATCATAGCATACCAACCAGCGAACACCCAGCCAAGTTTAGTTAGCCAGTTTGAGTATTCGTTACATACTCCTACGTAACTGTACTTCCACCGGTCGGAAAGACATATAAATCAAGGACAAGATACCACTTAATTACACGTACAAATCGATCTTATTTGTATGTCGTTCCGACATATAAAGGTGCGGCTACGTAGGTGCAAAGAGCCGCATACGAGTAGGTAAGGCTCAAGTGCGTATGCGGCTCTCGGTGCGGCCACCATAACCCGAGTTCTTGCCCACACGACGGACTTAAGAGTCTCCGCTAAGACTCTTATACTGAGATTGAACAATTAGCGACAACAAGGACGAGTTCATACTAGCCTATAAGAAATAATAGTATTTAGTTAGAGTCTTGATTAATCTTTATTAATTATAATTGATTTTATACTTAACTTAATGGATTTTATACTTAATTAGTTTTATACTTAAAAGTTAATTGATTTTATACTTAATTGATTTTATACTTAAACGAAGGCTATTATAAGGGGTAATTTGCTGCGATTCTATTGGTTAAACTTATAAGATAAGATTCGTGGTCTAAACTAAAACCTTCCCTCTTATCTCAATTTATCTTATACGAATAATACCTAATATACCAATTAACATGGTATTGGGCTTCTCATTGCCCAACCTTTCTAAACCTTTCCATGGCATATTTTGGGTACCAGTGCATTATTGGGAGCTAACATCTTGAAAGATTTGTCAATTAGCATGAGCCCAAAACTCTATCTTGTCGTGCAAAGAAGGGGCTTTTATAAATCTTATATCTTTTTCTATAAGCGCACCAATCATTGAGGGTCACTACTTTTGCCGAAATCTCTTTACAAAGATTGGTGGAATATAAAGCCTCATTTCCCAAAGTTCGGGAACATGCCGATCACTTGGAGGGTTTTCAGGGTTACCCAGAGGAGAGCGATCAAGAAATGTCCGATGCCATAAATTTTGACCCAATCACCTTACGATCTAAATATCCTGGCTCCCGAATCATGGAACTTCTTGCGAGAATGTTGTCACCGGGTAAATCGATAGACGAGCCTCACCCCCCACACTATCCAAGTGCCGGTAACAGAACACTGCGCGGTGGGATTGGTGGATAGAGATTTTTCTGGAACAATAAAGAAGGCATTGCAAATTTGCCAGGTGAGGAATTCAGGTAGAGTAGCTCATCAGAAGCCCCTGACTTGGGCCAATCTTTGGATATAAAAAATAAGATATATCCTGCTTTAAACTTTAGCTTTCTGCTCTGCAACTGTTTCTTGATCGGTTGGTTTTTCGCTAAAATGAAGTGCCTCATCGTTCTGCTATTTGCCGCTCTTAATCTCCCGCTTGTGTTTGCTGCGTGGGGATATACAGATAATGGCAGTGCTTATGTGGTTGGCATGAACTTCTACATCTTTCTGATCTTGGATTCGGTACTGACTCTTGCAAGATACCGGTGCATCACTCGTTTTTAGCATCGATACAACAAATGGGGATCTTAGTTCTATCAAATATAAGGGGAAGGTGAGTTTCCTTCGTCCTACGAAGGGGCCGCTCTGATATTTATTATCAGGAGTACAATGGATATAACCGCAAGAACTCTCACATCCAGAGTGGTTTCGGAAAGTCTGATGTGAAGATCCAGCAATTCACAAGTAAGTAACGATGAACATGCATGGTTTCCCGCCGCTAACGTCTTCAGCTCCTGCGAATATCATCAAGGTCACCGTCACCTACGGCACAATCATTCAAACATACATTGCTAGATATGGCAACAATAATATCTATATGCTTACCCGAAAGGGAGATAATACGGTAAGGCTCCTCGTCAGTAAGAATTAGAAGAGCTTTACCAATGAATATAGGTCCCTGCTCTGCGATACATCGTCCGAATGATCGCGAACCAGTTCGATAAATCCACCAATGATGCAGATTATCAAGATACACCAGAGACACCAGTTGAAGCTCAGGACATTACTCGCAACTCAGCTACCACTTTCACGAAGTCCAAGCACTATTCAGGAGCCGCAGACGGACGGTAAGCAACCTTCGTACCACAAACTCCAGATTTCAGCTCATGATATGGCAGAACAATGGACTATGACTATGTCGGAAGGACAAGCTCAAGCGTTGGAATGTTTTTGATTCGCTCTAACCACGAGAAGGCATCTGGTGGACCATTTTTCAGGTCTTTACTTCGACGGGCTACAACTGCAGAGGAGGACTTATACGAGATTTTGTACTACAATATGGGCACAACCGACCCAGAGAGATTTGGACTCCAGGGACCTTACCTCTTGTCTTTCACCGATGGAGGCGCTCCTAGCACCAATCTCTTCGCAAGAAGAGCTGAAGTAGAAATCTTCTGGAATTGTTGTTTAGCACAATACTGACGAGTTCCACCTTTAGTACAGCTGGATGGATAATCTAGGAATAACCGATTGGGTTCCTGCTTCAGGACGTGGATACGTTAGTGGTGTCGGAATCTCAAATATGAAATCTGGACATACCTACGTCGCCGGTCTATCAAACGCCAACGCTCAATACTGGGGTACTGCGGCTGCCTCGGGTGGAGCATACAGAATCAATGGTGTCCTTCCAGGAACTTACACATTGAGGATCTACAGAGACGAAATCGAAGTTTCCACCCGCAGTGTCGATGTCAAAGCCGGAGCTGGAACAGCAGTAAACACAATCACCCCCTCCGATCCTAGTGACACCACCGCCATCTGGAAAATTGGAGGATGGGATGGAACCCCAGCAGGCTTTACAAACTTCGATACGACGCCTATGAAGCCTACTTACATGCATCCATCAGATGGCCGTCTTGCCTCATGGAACCCACCTAATTACATTGTTGGTACTAGTAATGCTGCTAGTGCAATGCCTGGTTACATGTGGGTTGATGTAAACAACGATCAACTCATCTACTTCAAGCTCCCAGCAGCTCAAACCGCCACTTCGCACAAAGTAAGAATTGGCATCACCGAAGCCTTTGCTGGTGGTACACCAAAGATCTCAATCAACGGTGTAAGATATCCCTCTTCTATGCTTCATCGCCAGAAAACTGGTACTAAAAGTTTCTAGTGGACAAGTCCCAACCCAGCCGCCAGCAGCCAAGCTAGCACAAGAAGTCTGACTGTAGGAACATACCGAGGAACAAACCATATGTTCACCGTGAGTACAACTTTCCCCATATTCTGTCTTTCGTGCTAATTGGGAAACTAGTACGATGTACCAGCATCTGCTTTCTTGGCTGCCGGTGAGTATAACATTATGAAGATCACTATCATCAGTGGAAGTTCCGGTGTCACTTATTTAAGTCCCGGTGTTTCACTTGATGCTATTGACTTCCTATGATGGAAATTATGAGTCGGTGTTCTGGGACTGTTGCCGTTCTTCTGTAGATATAATAAGTGTTGGGGTCTTGTTTTGATGATTCTTGTATATACTTCTAGATGACATATGTAGATATAGTATATGCTCCAATAGTGTCTGACTATGTTGGTTGTATTAATTTGATAGTGTCTATTCTCTCCTTGTCTTGGGTAGTGGAAAGAAAGACTGCTAACCTAGAGTTCTATTAACTCTGTCTTGTATAAAAATGAAAGTGGTGTCATCACAACAATGCTTGGTGAATATTATTCTTCTGATGAGTCTGATACATTTAAGTTGAAAAACCTGAGGTTGAATTTTCAATTATCCACAGTATTATCGTAATTCTTTTCACAGCAGTTATTTAGCCCATGACGTTAGCACAATATCATTAGCTTAGAGCCATGTCTGCTATTAAAGTCAAGAATCATAAAGCTACACAGCAATAAAAGATAATCCCACTCAAGGAACCAGTGCAGTAGGTGCCAACGCAGCTACCCCCTTTCCGTCCTAAGTCTTGCAATAACTTCAACCTCGCTCCATAAAACCTCTAACCTACTATCCAATAGACCTTTCTCCCACAATACTATATCCAAACACCTCTTCGCCCCTTCCAAATCACCAACACCAGTCCAAGGCAAAGCCATCGCCAGCCTACCCGCGAACCAAAATCTCTTTCCCTCCTCTGCCAAGATCCCTCCAATGAACAGTGACCAAAATAGGAACTTTGCATGAGGTGTATCAGATGCTGGTTGAGTCTCTATGGTTGAGTCTCTAAGGTTGAAAATGAAGCCTCAGCTTTCTGTAGAGATAAGTGAGGATTCGGAGTTCAGAGAGGATCTCGAATATTTCTTTTTGGTATGACAATGCCATCCCTTTAGAAGGCTGGTAGGAAGTTTCGAGTGCTGGCGAACGCTGTAAATTGGGCCCGAGGCGAGATCTGGATCTTGTCATTCTTGCAGATGTTGTATCGGACCTAATTCAGCCGTCAGTAGAACACGCTCTATAAAAGTCGAGAAAGGTTGAGTTCTCTCATTGGGGTTTTTTTAGAACGCTTGAGAAAGACACTTGATAAACAATTTCGGTCATCTGACATCATTACTTAACAGACGTGTCTGTGGAAGTCTCGATATGGCAATGGGGGGGAAGGGGGGTAAAATGAACAACACTTAAGATGACAAAAGCTCAAGTACATTTGGTCAAATGGGGTTGCTTACCAGGATACTGCGGCTTGTAGGCAGCTGTTACAGTAGACCCTAGATTTTCCTTGCCGCCCCTTAAGTGAGCCATTTCTTCCAGCGCATTCATATGAATTGACGATTCTGCCAAGTCGCCTGTAACATTCTTTGCTCGGTTATCAGCGACTTCTCCGGCTCAAACATAGATATATACTTACAGAATTTGCGGCTATCAAAGCCACGGCCTGAATTAAATCATCATCGATTCCATTATGGGCATCTATTTCTAGCCTCCGAGTTATCAAATTCATGGTTCTCGTCCGATGGGTGGCAGCCAAAACACTCCTCTCTGTTTTAGTTTTAGCATCCAGGTGTACAGCAGCATGGGCAATAGAAGCCTGCAGTAGATTAGAATCTCGGAGAAGGTTGCTGGCCCAAAAATATCGCAATGCCTCCTGGCCAGCTTGCCCTTTGATGGGTAGCATCATCGACAGAATCTCAAATAGAACTACCTGAGTTAGATTCAAGTATACATACTCACTCAAAATGACAGTTAAAACAACCCTACACTTACAATAGTTGAACAAATATGATATACACAAATTATCTTGACTTGAGTACGCTGCCACTGTATCTAGTTTCCCCTCAGTAGTTTTCCTTATTGCTTCTTGTGAAGAATTACATTCTTCCATCTGCAAGCCCAGAATGTTTTTGTCTAAAGCCAACAACTGATTTGGCGATGAGTTTTCTTGATGAGACTTTGTAAAATTCTCACATCATGATCCCAACTGGCCAACATAAGGCGTTGGTGAATGAGGGGAAGGAGTGAGTTTGAATTCTTTCTCTGTTTGGGCTGCAGCCTTTTCCATTTTAAATGCTATTATACGCTCCAGTCTCTCTTTCCGCTGGAAAACTAACATCAGCTGCCCTTCTGACATTGGAGATGTGGCTTCTCCTCCTCTGCTTGCCACTGAGGTCAACTTGTATGATATTCATGATTGTGTCATGAGATATGGCATCCTTTGTCTGTCACCATCAATCCATGGGGGCTGGAAATTCACCTAAAGAGGTGAAGGTGTTTGTGCAACGTGTCTGCAAGAGCAGGGAAACTTCTCTAGATATCCAGGAGTCAGTTTCTAATAACATCTTGGTTGATGTTCATCAAACGGAACATTGAGGCTGAGCATTCATTCAGCTTGACGCCATCAGAATCCTTCTTACTGTACTGTAAAGAACTAGGCTGCTTCAGGGAGTTTCTCGCCATGGCACTGAGATTTGCCGCCTTCAAGGAAACATCAGCGACGACAGTAAAAGACAGTGGTCTTGATTATTAAGCCGCATTTAGACGCGTGCGAAAGAGAATAACGATATCTGATGAAAGTCGAATATGTGGATCTAGTTTTCTAAGTTTTCGATTTCCTATTCAAGCGATATCTTCCGAGAACAAGTTATCATTTAAGCATATTTGTATCAAAAAGTCAATTGGTATCAAAAAGTCAAATTGAAGCTTTTCTGAGAAACGTCTGAAAACAAGTAAATGCTAGACTAAACCGAATCGTCACTATCATCCGAACTCATCTCTTCGTCCACATTATCAGAATCCTCAGCTTGACTCCTATTTACAGTGGTATCGCCGTCATACTGATAATGCTCTTAAAGTAAATGCTAGCACAAGGGTCTTTCGCAAACTCTAAGTGTCCACACTCCCTCCTCGTCACTTTGACTTCTTTAGGATTATGGTGTTAATGATCAATTGAACATAGAAACCTACAAAAATAAAACACTCTCTTCGTACTCCAACAATCTGGTGTCCGCGATATCGTAAGGTCATTTCGAGATTATGGCGAATAACTCATGACCGCTTTGAAGTGCGATTTGAACGATTCAAGGAGCTAATCGTGCTTTTTGCGGCGAGTTTTATAGGATTTTTATTTTCTCTAGTGTTCTATGGAAGGATGATTGGCCGTATTTCGTATAGGTACAGTACCTAGTTGCGTAGCTATTATGCTATATAAATTCTAGCCAGTGTAGGGAATAAGATCAGTGCATAGTGCACTGCACTGCACTATTTGCACTACATAGTGCACTACGGGCTATTTTTTACAGTTTTAAAAGCAATATATAAACTGCCTGGTTAGTGCAGTTTATTAGTCCAAAACTTCCAGTTTGCACTGTACTACGCACTAAGTATATGTATTGATTAAAGTTCTTCTATATATACTTCTTTGGGGCACCAGTGGGTGACAGAATTCGTGGGACAGCACAACTTCTAAACTACGTAATCAAGAACACCAAAAATGCTTAGATATCATACCTTAATAAAACATACTCTTTAAACCGTCCAAATGGACACTAACACGCCTACTCACAGTAGAGAGGACACGCCAGATCGTCAAATATACCACCGCGAAGCTACTACTACCAAAAAGACCCGGTTTTACGAGGCCTGGGACGCCCGGCACGGCGCAGAAACACATAAGGCTATTGGGGCAGATTTGGGAGTAACCAGGTCTACGGCATCACGATGGCTCAAAGAGCGTACTCAAATAGGGTCTGCAGCATACCGGCGGACGCGGAAGAGGTCAAATATACTTGGGAGGCGTCGTCTTATCTCAAAAGAGAGTTGTTTACTCCTTGTCAACCCAGCCAAAAACCCCGTCCAAAACCAGCACTACGAAGCTCAAATGAAATACCACAAGATCAAGGGTTCCGCCCGCACTCTACAGCGCGCTTTGCTCAGGCATACAAACAAGGCCCGTCGCTATAAGGCTGCGTACGTAAAGAAGAAAACCTCGAATACAAACCGGCAGAAACGGACAGAATACGGGAGGAAGTGGCAGTACAAGACAGTTGAGAACCATTGGCGTAGGGTTCTCTGGACAGACGAGGCACATATTGATCCTACCTCTAACGTTCAAGACTTCTACCTCCGTGAGCAAGGGAAGCGTTATAAGCCCGAATATATACAGGAAAGGGGGGAGAAACGGGGCGTACGGCTACACATCGCAGGGTGGTGTAATTGGCATGCCAAATGCGAGAAACTCCAGTTCTACCACGACGAAGAGGATGAAGTTATTAAAGCTAGGAAGCCTAGGAAGCCTCGCAAAACCAAGTACTGTACAGACGAGGAATATGCAGAGTTAATACTAAAGTGGGAGGCTGAATGCGAGGCACACGATAAAGAGGTTAAGCCAAAAGGGAACTCCATGACCGGCCTCTATTACGTAGAACGCCTTCTTCCTTTTTATATTGACGCAATTCAACACCTAAGGATTACAGAGGAATGTATAAACAGTAGTTGGCTTCTTCAGGAAGATGGGGACAAGTCTCATGGTATACAGAACCCAGATAGCCTTGCATCAGTACTCAAAAGGGCTAATTGGATCACGAACCTTGTCCACCCTCCCCAGTCCCCAGATCTCAACCCTATAGAGGCTCTTTGGAATATCCTTAAGCAAAGAATACGTCGGAGAGTATGGAGTACAATTGCGGAGCTTAAGGAGGTGGTTCAGGACGAATGGAGTAAGATTACAATGGAGGAAGTTCGTGCCCGTATAGCGGATATGCCTCGGCGATGTAAATTACTAGTTAAAACGAGTGGGAAGCCTATAAAGACTGCGAAGTGGTAATAAAAGTTTGAATAGTAGTAATTTTTAGTGTTCTTGATTACGTAATTTAGAAGTTGTGCTGTCCCACGAATTCTGTCACCCACTGGTGGGGTGAATTAGTTGCTGACTAAGCAAGATTAGTCAGTAAGATTAGTCAGCCCGTCTAAACCGTCAATTCAATAATAAGCTAGTCTATATAAAGCAAGGCGATAGTAACTTATAGCTATAGAAGTAACATAAATAACTGCATTTAGTAATAAATCTATAGTTCTCTTTTATAAAATAGCCCTTAACGTACTTCATAAGGAGTCCGGATTTATAAGCAGTCCGGATTTTTTACCCCACCATTGACCACCCTACACACTTTCAATCTACATAACTTACCCAATTATTGTTCAAATGTCTCGAAAAGAAGGTCAAATTGTTCTTGCAATCAGTGCATACAATAAGGGTCAATTTACAAGCTGAAAAGCAGCTTGTACAAGGTACGATGCGCCATATTCTACTACTTACGACCGCGTCAAGGGAGCTATTCCACAACGCGATTTCCGACCCTGAAACCAGAAACTCACCGACCTCGAGGAATCAGCACTTATACAATGGATGTTATCAATGGAAGCTAGAGGTCTGCTAGTACGGAAAGATTCGATACGCCAAATGGCCGATTTACTACTGGAAAAGCGAACTGGAGTAGGTCGAATTATTGTCGGAAAATGCTGGGTTGACAACTTTATAAAGCGCCACGACTCTTTACGGACGAAATACACTCGTAAATACGACTATAAGCGCGCAAAATGCGAGGATCCTACGATTATCCGAGATTGGTTTCAATTAGTACATAATATTGTTGCGAAATATGGTATACTAGCGGAGGATATATACAATTTCGACGACACTGGCTTTCAGATGGGAGTAATTGCGACCGCAAAAGTTGTTGCAGGGTCAGAATATACAGGACGGGCTATTCATATACAACCAGGGAATCGCGAATGGGTTACAGTTGTC